CTTTTCCACCAATACACTCAAGTAATAAACTAAAGCTCAGCATAAGTATATCACCGAATTATTAAAAGACCTTACTAATGTGAATCCTCTAGCAGAACTTCTCTGTCCACATAATACTGGCTTGAAAATTCTTCTGACAACTGAGGGAGTGGAATATGATCCTTATATGGTAGGTAGTTCACCTGGATTCTGATTGATAACTGGGAAAACTCATCTTTCAGTCAGTCTTGATAAGACTCTTCTTTATAGAGTTGGTGACTGACTTACTTCACACTTATTCAAGAAAAGGTAGTCTTTTGCCATTCACTCGGAGCCTTTTAGGTGCCTCCGTGGTAACTTGTAACACAACAGTCTTTAGAATTAGCATTGCATGTAGAATAAAAAGTGGTAGGTTATCACGTCACCTTTAGCTCTGGTTAATTCTACTGAGTCATGATAGAGAACCACTAATTAGTTGTTTATTTTTCAGAAGTTTTCTTTACGGTAATTCCTGTGTGTTAATATTAATACATCTCATTTGTCCAATTATCCGAGTAATAAGACTGTCTGTTTCAATTCTCATTTAATTTAAAGACAACCTGTTGAATAATTGCAGCTATCTGGAAGAAACACAGATTATGGTTCTTCTGTTGAAAACCACGGAGTATTGGACCCAACCACTCCACCCGGAATCGAACCCATGACCTTCAGGTGGCGAGGCCATGCAAGGATTCATGGTTATTTTATCTTAGACTTATAAAATGTAAACTAGTTGCATGTATAGGGTTGCTTATTGTCAGTGGCTAATGAAGTCCGGAAATATTTTTTATTTCTAGGATATAAACCTCGAAAATGACAGTGTATTTACTTTTTGTTTCATATGAAACTGAAACTGTCGTTTTAATTAGTCTCATATTCAAACATAAGAAGGATAGCGACTACAATTGTATAATTGTATGTCCTTGGTAATATGTTCATTGATTTTTATTGTGAACTTGATGTACTACTACTAGTGGTGGGTGTTTTGTGCAGTCACACTGTGATTGACATTCTCATAACTGTGTGTGAATCTATGTGAATCAAGTTTTTTCCGAGTATATTCATTTTCTGATACGGGTGAACAGGAGTTTTCGCCTCTTGTAACTAACCCCTTTTATTCCCAATAGTCAACTGACATCATTGTTGCCAATTTTACAAGTTGAATTATTATCTCCTTGATTTTATTTCCTTCTTTTTCTAATTACATCATATACTGCCTTCATCCATCATTATTACCACAAAAATGATATTCTCCTTCGTCTATAACACATTTAATTATGCTTGTTAAGGTCAAGTATTGTCCTGTTGTCTGGAGAATAAATAACAAGGGTAATCATCAAGGGTTTGTCAATACACATTAGCCCACCTGGTCACAATAGCTGATTAATGACTGAATGCTGAAGCATATACTTAACAAACTTTGTAACAATGATGTCACAATTATCATAATCATATAAACTGATAAAAAAAAACGAACAGATAGTTGTGTGTTTGTATGTAAGGACATTCGCACTGGGTAGAAGCTAGTGCCATCCTTGCATATTCATTTAATTCCATGACCTTTGTATCATCCTGTCGATGACATATCTGTTTTAATTTGGCTCATTATTGAGACGAGGGAAATGTTTACCTGAAGCGATATGGAAATAAAAAGATAAAAAGCTTCCAACTATTCACTGTATAATAACACTAGAAAAATATGTCTCTGATAATTGTTATATTTATGAGTAATGTTAACTAACGACTCACTTGTGAATAACTATGAAGAACTAAATATCTCAAATGTACTCGTCATTCTTCAATTTCTAATTGTTATCAAAGTTCGTATACAATTGGTGGATGGTGGCTAGCAGTGGAATCCAGGATGCGCATTTCGTCCTATTTGGGACTCGTCATCTGGATGTACCTGCATTTCTCAGTGAGTGATGATGTTCCCACTGAGGCTCGAACCCAGTACCCATAGTTTCAAACGCCAAAGCGTTATCCACTAGACCACTTGGGCCACGAGAGCCACCTCTTGTGCGACGGGTCATATTAATTATTGAATTGAATTTTTGATTTTCCCGTCGATCGATTGGACCGAAGTGCTCGGTCTCAGGTCGAAGCATCTGCACAAGAGGCCGACATGTCAACCTGAGACCGAGCACTTCGGTCCAATCGATCGACGGGAAAATCAAAAATTCAATTCAATAGTTATCAAAGTTCATTTGTCTAAGTGAATCACTTCGGTATCCGTTATCTGTTATTTCAATCAATAAACTTTCATTACCGGGTTCAGTCTTAGTCATTCTTGTTCTCAGTAATAAGATCAAGTCACATATATTTGCTAACACAAGCATTACCAACGTCGTATACACTAAGACAAAAAGGTGTATGAGTAGAATTAGACATTCTTTATTAAGGCCTACACTTTGTTTTTAAAACAGAAGAAGATTCCCACTTGCGTATTCCTCACCTTTTATAGTGTCATAATTATCAGTCCTATTGTTTTCTTCCATATTTCATCAGTATATTTACGGACTTAAGTTAGAATCAGTTATTTTCCATGTTACAGAAGTAGAAGTATAGACCAAGTGCTAGTCGTCTGGATTTTTAAACTGAATCATGCCTATATAAGTTCATATTTCTATAGCTTCATTTACTTAGTGGACTCCTTACAGTAATTGGAATGGTCAACAAAGACTTTATTTTTATTTTATTTAAACGCATAAAAACTGATTTTTTTATTTTTTTAATTTTTGATTACAGCTTGATTCCACACCGTATTTTTGGTACAAGTATGGAATTTTCAGCGCGGATATCGGTAGCCCAAAATTCGCAGGCCGACCATAGATATCAGGTGTGGGTCGGCGAGGGCTCGAACCCGGGACCATGTGCATGGTCGGCGAGAGTCCTAACCACTGTGCCACCGACGCACAGTATGGCACCAAGAAGGATGCGCCACACAATAATAATAAAACAACATAGATCAAAAGAAAAAAAGAAAGAAGAGAAATATATATATATATATATATAAGTAGAGAACGGATAAAGAACAGTCATGCTTAATAAGTTCAAACATTAGTCGTTAACTATCATCGGGAAGGGAAGAAAGAAGGAAATTGCAACACGTGTAATAGCACGCGATAAGTTTCATTGGTTGTTTGTTGCTTCATTCAATTCATTGTTTGAGGGCTGAGATACTGCCCGGGCGCCCAGACCGAAGCAGGTGGTTCTCGTAAGGGACCACACCCGAGCCTTTGACTTGGAGTCTAATCCGCGAGGCAGCGGAGCAGCGTCAGGAGCTGCATTCCCATGGTTACCGGTGACCCATATGGGTTCATACGCCATTTGATCCGACTGGATATTGGAGCTCATGTACCCCATGGTAACTGCTTTTAGTTTAACCGCCATCCGAACAACCTTCCTGACATTGTAGGACCTGCAGGGATATGAATCCTAGCCAATTTAGCTTGTTTGGTCACTGCAGTATTCAAGCCTGACCACCACGACAAGGTAGCAGTTATCGGCCGGGTCAACAAAGACTGTTTTCCAGGAAATCCTTTTCTACTAGAAACTGTCCCACTATTTAATGTGGGTTACTCTATTCTGTGCAACATTTAACGGTGTTTCTAAAGACTGCTTTGTCAAAAATAACGGAAAATTTGGAAATGATAAAGAGGTGAAGTGAAGGTACTACTGACACAAGAACTATTGCAAATTTTTGAGGTAGTAGTTAAAAGTTGTCTAAGCAGTTGACAAGATTTAATCTATTTCATCTGAATATGCTAGACTGCACCTCTATTTTTTCTGTCAATTTTGTTATCTTCATCTTTCTATAAAAATACTCATGTGTCATGAAAGACACTTACTGTGTGCTACTGTGTTTTAATGGAGCGATTGTCAAAAAAAAAACTAACATTTATTATCATTTTCATCCGACTAACTGACTTCACTTTGTTCACCGACCTTTTATCTATTTGTTGACTTGTCTTTTGGATGCAACTAAATTCAGCTTTTAAGCCTACTTGTGACGTCTGTCATCATCAATCCACAGTTCACAAATATAAAATGATGGCATAAAGAATATCTACAATCCACAGCATGCCTTCCACTTAATAGCCATATTTATGAAGAATTAGTGAACTACTGTCCTCCCTGCTCTGCTAAGTGTAGGAAATAAGAGAAATGAAATACTGCTCAGATTCAGCAGTTGGGTCTTAGGCTCTACTAATTCCCACAATGAATATAGACCACTGAAAGCCTATCATATGATTTTAATGAGATTTCTCTCACGTAGGCCTAGATACTGTTTTTTTTTCACAATAGTAGTTTGTACTTAGCCTGGTGATTTTATTAGGCTATAACTAATTGTTAATTAATTAATTAATTAATTATTCAGTTTAATATTTTGCTGCGGTGTGATTATCATTTTTCTACTGGCCAGTGGACTGAAGTTACAGAGTAACTTTCAGTCACAGTTAATTTGGTTGCTTACATTCTATGACTGTGTACACTAAACTTCTTGTGCATATTTTATTTATATGTATACGCGTGATAGTAAAACTACATTCTGAATAAAAATTTCATATCAGTTCATAGGTTTTATGGATCAAACGCATATCGGTGAAAATAGCTGTTGAACATCTGCATTGTTTTTTAACGAAAAGAGTAATCATTTATGCTTTCAACAATAGCTAACCGATCCAGAATTTTCCACTTTCAAAACAACATGATGGAAAGAAATTAACAGTGGAAAACCAAACGTAAAAGTGGTTCAGACAGCGTAACGACAGACTGTCAGAAGAATGATGAAAAGATAGAATTCAGAGGTGTGAAGTAAAGACATCAACTTCCTTTTCAATGGAATTTAACATTCCGTATATGAAATCAGTAAAATTTCTGAGATTTTGAATAAGTTATGTAATGAAACCGAACAGTTGATGTTTAATTAACCTTTATCAACTAATCAGTTCTCATTCGTTTTCTCTTGATTTCAACAGCCTCTATTAATTGGTACCAGCAACGGTATGGGATGTTGTTATACAACCTCTAACCGTCGACTTCCAAACGGAAATATACACTGTGAGCTTGATGTTGAATCAGCTGACTCTGGTCGTGGAGCTAGTGAAGACGATCCCAGTCAGTTAGGCGGTCAATTCATTCATTTCTATCCTGCATGTAATGTGTCTAGCGTTCCACAACAATCACTCGCTCAAGTTGTTGATTCGTCATCTGTCAATATGAATGGAGGAACTAGTTCAAATTGTATACAGAGTCTTAAACTGCAAAACGATTCGTCAAACGATGCATCCGGTGTTGTCATTTTAACAGGTGGAGTCAACGGTAACAGTAGCAATGAACAGGCAGATTCAAGTTGGAATGCCACTGCTGCTGTTCGGCGTTTGAAACTGTAGATATGCGAATTAAAGTGTCTACGGGTAAACACGATTATATATATATATATATATATATATATATATATATATATATATAGGCGAAAAGCAACTTCTACTTAAACCTATCTTTATGTATCATATTACTTTCTCATCTATCTGTCTATCTATGCAACTATCTATCTTTCTGGGTACTTACCTACTTTATTTTGTTGATTTTTTCAGTCACTAAGATAAAAAGTGTTTCGTTTTCAAAAGACGTGTTTTCTCTTGCAAACAATAAAAGAGTTTAGTTCACTGTCGTAGGATCTAACAGTTAACATCCCTTAACATTAAACCAATAATAAGGGAAACAGTCAGGATTTTAATGATAGTTATACGTACTGAACCATATGGATTGCTAATTTTAAACATTCTTTCTAAGACTCAGCTGGCAGTCATTAGCCTAAAAGCTTAATAAAGCTGTATCCCTTCTTAAATAGTCGACTTGGGAACCCAGATAACCTTGACAAGTAGTAGTCTGTGGTTTTCCTAAAACTACAGTTGTAACAGAACAAAAGTACTGTTGTCAAGCTGATTTCTACGTCATCTCTCAAGACATAGATAGCAGCACATCATTGTGTCAGTTATCTCTTCTAACCTAGTTAGAAACAATCTTACCAAATTCACGAATTAGTTAACGTGCATTTCCGTCATGTTTTTCTAGTCAGCTGGGTTTCGGACAGCTCACATTTTCATAATAGAGAATGTCTAAGAGAAGACTATGTGGTCAGGTTTAGAAGTTGATCTGAACGCATGATGGAACATCAGAATTTGTTGTGGATATCTTTCCATTTGGATGACTAGTTTGTTGTTTTAAGTGTCACAACAATCAAATATATCATCCTGTGACGACAGGTGTATTGTATTTGTGGGAAAATGCTGCAACACAAAATGAGTATGACTAACTACACTAAATACAACTCATACATGAGAAAACAGTAATTCATTATTAGCGTTTTGTGTGTGTGTGATCGAGATGAATATACTGAAAGGTATATAAAATACAGAGTGAGCCTACAATACTCATTTCGCACATTACAAGGGTAACATATACATGCTTTTTATGAAAATTATGAAAGGCCTTATTATTACCACTTTCCAAATCTCTAAGGTGGAGAGTAACTATTGTACAAAATAATTCCTCTTTACACTCACCCTATCAGTATGCTTTGTTATATAGAAAAGTTATCTTGTGGGGTACGATGAGAATTAGGAACAAAAACTAGAAGTGTATCTGTAATCATATGTGGAGGTTATGCTGTAATTGAATTCATCATTACACAGTCATGTTCTTATTCTTATTGCTGTTGCCTGCAACAACGACAATTACCCGTTTTTCAGATTGGAAATGGGTTGATTTTAACAACAGTTACACTGTGATGACTCAAATCAAAAGTATGGAGGTGTTTTCACTGTACAGCATAAGCTGTTATATCTACTACCTGCCACAGAATCAGTTTGTAGATGCGTACTGACAATGAAAACTAATATGTGATAAATGTATTCAGATATTATCAACTTAACAGTATCATATGAAATTTTCTCCAAGAAAATTTAATTAAGTCTGAAGGGTATCGATGGTAAGCATACATTTGAAATAATGTTAACGTTGTGTAGCCTCATTGTGTACTGTTGAGAAATATACCTGTAATTTACCAACTATCAGCCGACCATGCACATGGACCGAGGTTCGATCTCCTGCCGACGCACACTTAATATCTATGGTCGGCCTGCAAAATATGGGCTACCGATATCACATGCTGAAAATTCCATACTTGTGCCAAAAATACAGTGTGGAATCAAGCTGTAATAAAAAAAGTATACACTTGAGAGCTACTGGAGTTACGTCGGTCAGACTGGTTATATGGTAATATTTTGCCTGCAGTATGTTACAGAACTTGGAAGTTTTAGATGACATGATACCTCGCATTTGTTTATTGAGTAACTTATATATTTTATTCTGCTCAAAGAATACAAAATGCTCGAAAAATCGGGATCAGTCAAATACTAAAATAAACGGTTGAATTTTCTAAATCTTACCAGAATCAATTCATCTATGTTGAAGATTGCATTATAATTACACGTCTTCAGTATCTACGTCTTTGTTATGCTCAACTTTTGTAATAGATGTATTTGAGAAGAGCTTTAGTGACATGTGGCCACAAATTTTCAAGTGGGAAACTAGTGGAAACAGTACTTTTCAACTCATGGAAAATTCCCATTGCAGCATATAGAAAATCAAAATAAGTGATTCAGGGAAGAGACTATTTTCAATGAATTTATCATCAAGCTGTACAATCGTATATATATATGGTTTTTAAGGAGTTATATCCGGTGAGGGAATTGAATCTTAGGTGTGAATGCACAAAATAATAATAATAATAATATGAAGTTCAATTAAAACTAAAATGTTTGTGATTATAATCATAGTTAAATGTCAAGTGGCAAAGCAAATCAGTGTCATATATAGCATAATTCATAGGATGGATAGAACTTGGAAACCGTGTGCAATTATAAGATTAGTAGACATATCGAAGAGAATGAAAACGTTACGTAATAGTGTGTGAAATTTGATAGCATAGAATTTAACGTTGTAAAAAAGAATTGATTTAAAATGACAAGTGGAACAAGTGAAATAATACCGCGAACAGTTCAAAGTGAGAGTAGTAGTAGTAACAATTGACGTAATAAAGGAAGAGTATACAAATTGAATAGACAAAATGGAAAAAAGATGAAAAATTGGTAGAACCAAAATAATGATTAGGGATTATCATACTTAAGTTATAGAGGGATTAAGACCATGAAAGTGGAGGGGTTGAACGAACTTTTTCTGTACACAGAGATCTGGCTTTTCTGTTTCGATAGTCAAAGCTTCAGCAATACAGTTGGGTACGTAGTGATTTCGGTAAATTACTGTTTGCCTTGTCGATGACTTTAAAGGCGGAGGCTATAGAGATACAGTGATCATTATCGGCAAGATGTTCAATGATCGGGCTTCTTATTGCTCCACTTCCACCTCTTCGTAACCATGCAGCATAGTGTTCTTGCACCCTCTTGGACGAAACTCGAGTCGAACGACCGATATACCTAGCTCCACAAGAGCAGGTGAATTGATAAACACACACAGAGTTGGTCAACAGCGGGATCTTGTCCTTCAGATTACTGAACAGTAATGGTTGACTAGTAAAGGATATTCTCAAAGATGCAGCACGAAATGTTCTTTACATGGACTGTGATATCCTTCTTTTCATGATATCGGAAGCTAGGTCACCTTTGACTTCCAAGGCATGTACAGTATTTTCTTGGTTGCGGGTGATAAGTCACGTTTTATAGGATTTGAATATATATTCTTGTCTATAAAACGCGGTGTAAATCCATTTTCTATTAGGATTTTCCTCCGCGTCAGTGGCACAGCGGTTAAGACGCTCGCGAACCGTGCACATGGTCCGAGGTTCGATCCCTGGCCACAGGACGCACTCCTTTACCTCGCTAAGCCACAAAAAATGCTGGTATAGAGGAAAGGTTGGGCATGAGGCTAGCAACCCCGTCCTGTAAAAATAAACACTGCTACAGAAACTTCAAGCCACTAGCTTGAGGCCCTATGTTCCAGTGGGAACGTGAAGGAAAAGTTATTATTATTAGGATTTTCCTCAAAAGAATTAACTCATCCTCCACAATATCAGGGCTACATATTTGCTGAATGCGAGTGAATTAATTGTTTTGTCACTTGACATTTACCTATGATTATAATCACAAACACTTTAATTTTAATTGCATTCCCTCACCGGATATAACTTCTTAAAAACAGTACTTTTCTCACTCACTTGATTAGACTATCTGACTTAATGGCACTTTGGAAGGTTAGAATGCGAGTTCAAGTATGAACTGAATCGTAAAAATGTTTATTTATGGAGGATTGACATATGCAGTTCACGTTATTTCGATGCAAGTCTTTTTAACAATTTCCATTTCCAGAATTCTTTGTCTTTAGAAGTGCATTTATCCAATGGAGTAGGCCAGCATAGTATTATTCATTATCTGCATTCTCTTTTTGGGTGACTGACGTATTTCAAATAGATAAGGTTTCAGAAACTGTGTGTTGGAAGTGTTTTTTGCACTGGTTTTGTCTGACTCATAGGTCTTAATGTCATCTTATTCTTTATACATCATGTTAGTTGAAAGACAAATGCATAATATTTAAAATATCAACAATTTTTTTTTATTCATATTACAAGTAAATCTACATCAAATCTTTAAAGCTAAGCTACAACTCAGTTAAACAATGCCAAACCTAATTTTCTGTATAAGTGATAATGAAAATACGCTAATTGACCAATTAACAAATCAGATAAAGTTATCAGCCCGTACTAATTTAGAATTTCAGACTTGAAAACAGTGTCATTTAGTTGTCATGATAACAGTGAGACATTTGACACATTTGTCCCTTTTATATGACCCCCTGAACAAAGAAATCAGGCAGGATGTATTAAGGGCAGAGACCTTAATTCTATGTTAGATCAAGTGACAGAGAAAAACAGTCCACTCACATGGATGGCATGTATTTGTGTGTCTGTGATACGAAACCTGACGTACGCATACATTCAGCACACTTATGCACTAAACTGCATCACATCACGTCAACAAATAGAAGTGGTTTCATATTCAACTGTAAACAATGTAGTCACTTTGATGTATTAGATATACACTTATAATCAACTGAACTATCTTCAAATAGGTTTCAGTGCATATCTAACCTTTTATTTTTTATGAGAATTTGCGATTAAATCCTAAGTTAGCCAACGAGAATGAAATAGTTGAATAGATATGCAAATTTGACAAGTTCATCAGATTTCAGCTACAAAGATGGTAAATGTTGTCCAAGTGTCTAGACTTTCGTGCGTTTATCATATAGCGTGATCATGAGGTCCTTGAAAACTTAACTACCAGTGGGAGAAGAGTGAATAGTTATCAGTGAGTAATCATAACTTGTTAACAGAAAGTGGATTTATGATCCTCAAAATGAAGAACAAGTAATCA